GTTTTTTGGTAATTGAGGTATTCCATCATACGCGACTGGAAATAGTTGTGGATATGGTTCTGAGATTTATATGTAACGAAAAAATTTACAAGATTTTTTCTCCTCACTGCTTTATGCCTTATCCAAAGCCATTGGGAAAATAACGATCTATAAACCTGGATTATAGTCTAAAAGTCTAATTTCCAGGAAAAATTTTAAAAACTTTGTGTGCCTTTTACTTCGCTTATCTTATTTGTCAAAATATACTTATATCGTAGATAAAAATGTATGACCCAATCATCCGATAAAAGGTGATAAGGACCGCGCACCAACCATTAGTGTAAAGCTCAATGTGAACTGGTTGCAAATGGCGTCTCGTACCGTCCTTCGCTGTGTCATTAAGCTAAAAGCATGGGACAGCTTTATTTGATTTTTATGGGCAAAGCAGTAAGATACCTCATGCAACATCGTCTTTTCAGGGGCCGTGCTAAAAGACATGCTAGAGCAAGAATGCGCCGTGCAAAGAAACTACATGTGGTCTTCGTTCTTATTGGAGTAGTGGTAGTGATATATACAATGGAAGTTCGAGTTCTCTTTAAAAAACCGACTGAATTTTCTACAAATGTTGCCGAACGTTCCCAAAGTCTCATTCATTTACAAGGCAGACGACAAAGGGGATATGAATCAGAGCTTCAACCAGTTGGTGAACAACCACGAGCTGCGTTCTGGCAGTGCAAGGCACTATTTGAAGGGGACAGGAGTGCTGCAGTTCAAGCGAAAAAATTTATGGAGAATCATCCAAAAGTTCCCGTAAACCCCGAACACTATAAGCGCTTAACACGAAACTGCTCTGACTTCATACACAGACGAGGCTACATAACTTCGGTTTCCCAAGAAGAAACCAACTTCCCTATTGCATTTAGTTTGGTGGTTTATAAGGATGTAGAACAAGTGGAGAGATTGTTACGTGCAATATACAGGCCTCAGAATTACTATTGCGTTCACGTGGATAAAAAGTCGCCTAGCGATTTTATGGAAGCAATTACAGAAATTGCAGGATGTTTTAAAAACGTTATTATTCCCTCAGTACGTATTGATGTTGTGTGGGGACAAATAAGTGTTTTAGAACCCGAGATTCTCTGTATGCGAGAACTTCTTAAATACCAAAAATGGAAATATTTTATAAATTTAACGGGTCAGGAATTCCCGTTGAAGACTAATAAAGAGTTAGCGAAAATTCTTCAGATTTTCAATGGAGCCAATGATATCGCGGGTTCCATTAAAAGGTAAGTGCAATTACTCTGAAAATTCCATGAACATTTATTCTGGTGGGCAGCATTTTTTCAACATGATTCACATACATGTTGTCTTTACGGGGTTGGATCGATCTACGTAGAACGATAGTTTAATTGAGAACGAACCCTATAACGTGTGTGCTATTTCAACCCCAAGTAGATGGTTTATGCTTTCCTATATTAAGAAAAGTTCATGACTTTTTATATTGATCATGTAAAGCACAATTTGGTAAGATTGTTACCAAAATTTCCTGTCATATTACACATAACAAGGAAAGCCATATTTTACACAAAAATGAGATTTCGCGTAAATATGATGCGAATAATTCCCGATTTCCCATTCCCTAAAATTAAAAAAAAAAAAAAAAGAAAGAAAAAAAAGAGTGGTTTATTAACATTATCCGTGCTTTTTTGTTTCAGGCAGTTAAGTACTATCAAAAAACGAACAGGCTATGTTTATATAGGAAACAAGAGAACATTTATCACGAAGTCTCCTCCGCCAGCGGGTATTCGTATTCATAAGGGGCAGGTGAAAATCACGGCGACAAGAGAATTTGTGGATTACGTGATACACAATGAGACGGCACACCTGTTTTTGGATTGGGTGAATGATACTCTGCACCCTGATGAAACATACTTTGTTTCTCTTAATAACAACCCACAGCTGGGAGTTCCAGGGGCACACATAGGTATAGTTGTACATTTTTTTTATTTCAAAGTTCTTGTTCATGATGTTCATGAAGATTGTCCGATGATTTGAAGTGCATGTGGATATGTTTTACTGTTTATACATTGATATCTCAAGTCCAGTCATCGACGGAAGTACAAGGAAAACATGTTCGTTTCCGATTACGTATGTTAAGAAAAGATAAATACAAACATAAACCCGTTTATATTTACGAGTAGAAAAATGTAACAGTAGACGTGTGACCATGATTCATACGTCTATCAAAGCCATTCAGATGTGATGCATTTGTCACGAAATCCCACCACTTAAGTTACAAAAGTTGTCATCATATCCACTTGAAATGAGGATTTTTCCGATCCTACATTTTCAATTGGACTATGCACAATACACCCCACACCACACTTTTATAATTGACGGGCTTATCTTGCACATATATTGTTAATGCCGTTTCTTTCTCTTTCTACAGGAGACCCAGACAAAAAACCATACCTGACTCGTTACGTAGTATGGGTACACGGTAAAGCGAAATGCTGGGGTAAGAAAGTGAGACGTGTTTGCGTGTTCGGGATATCAGATCTACCAAGTTTGATTGATAGGAAAGAATTATTTGTGAACAAGTTCCATCTTACTTTTGAATATTTAACGTACGACTGCATGGAGGAAATGTATTTCAATAAAACAAGAGTAGAAGACGCATTGCCTTTTAATTCAGATTATTACCGTAACTTAGAATTCGTAAGAAACCATGTATGATGACAGAAGTGCATCTGAGTTCAGTGATGGTATACCAGTAAAGTTAGTTCATTATCATTTGTTTTGTCAAAAAGAAATAAATATTTTATGTTGTTTTTATCAAGAATATACAGCACATTTTAAAAAAGAATAAAGAATTTACCGATTAACAAGTGTGATTTAATGTATTTTTGTCATTCGTTTTTAGTGTATCATACATCCTTATAGGACTAACTTTGAAAGGTGTGATATTTTTCTGATCTTCAGGTGATTCAGAGAAGCCCTTGTACGCGTAATTTAGGTGCAGACACATAAATAATTCTCTTTTAATTAAAGAGGACATAGACCCCATTTCCAGAGATTAGATCGATCTACTTTAGATCGACCTAAATCCCTGGGGGTTCACGCTAAATGGCTGTCAGCCGGGTGGACACGAAAGTTAATTATCCCCTTACAGCTTGTAGTAGGCGGGACGGACATTTAAGCCGGATTATCTGACAGTAATCTAGTGAGACTCCCCGCGGGGATAGATCGATCTAAAAGCTCTGGGAATACAGCCTAATCTCACTAAAAACTAATTATTCGAACTTCCTTTGTGCTCCTGTATGCTGCTCTCATACTTTTATCTCATATATTGCTCTGACTTTTGAAATATTTAATAATTATATACTCCCAAATTTCTGAAGTTTGGTAACTCTGTTAACCTTCAGAGACGAGACTATCAAGTCAGGTTTGATTGTTTGAGGAGCGTCATAGCATTCATCTGGACCCATTGATCACTCACTTCTTAAAGCCTAAAGTTTACGTAAATACTTTTAATGATATAAGTGAATATCCGTATATCAGACTGTGCAAAACAGGCTAGAGTTTTTTGAAGCAATTTTCAATGCATGAACGCCTGCAGGTGCTTTACACGTTACTGGAATGCCTTCATTACGTGATCGTTATATAAGCAGAGTTTATTAAATGAAAGTGCAGTTTGACAACCAATTAGTTTTAATTACATTGTAAAATCCATAAGACTACACGATATCTATAAATCATTCCATTTATAACACTAGATAATATAATGAAAGTGATTAAATGAGTGCATCAGAAGATTTAAAACGACTTACTCTCCCTCAATATCCTTATTATGCTATGAGCCAGAACCCTGATTTCCGTCCATCAGCACCAAAAAGGGAGGTATGGGCTGTAATGTAATGCAATACATTTTTCCCATTTGGTTTTATACAGACATTTCTCAACTCTTCAAGTTCGGCAAACTGTCCTAATTATTCGGGAATTGTTTTCAAGTGACGATTAGCATTTAGAGTCGCGCATGTGAGAGTGACTAGACTCGCTTTTGTCACCATGCCCCTGTCTTTGACATTGAATAGTCTTAAACATCATTTTTCTAAACTTCTTTCCACAAATACAATATATAATGAAGTTGATGGAACAATTAAAAACTAACAGAAAGGCGGTTATCAAATAATACACAAAGAAATTAAATTCGTAGACAAATGTCGCATCGCTGAGAACCACAGTCATGAAGTAAAATATCTGCAGAAGAAAATCCGGCGTCTGACAGGCGATGAAGACGAACACGACAACCACAAGCATGATACTTATATTGTCGTCGTGCTCCTTCCCCGTGATTTGGGCGCGCTGGCGATTCGCGGCACGGAGGCTGATGATCAATTTTGTGTTCACAAAGCCCAGAACTACCATCGGGACGATGTACATTGTGAGAAAGTAAAGAACAATCTGATAAATTATCCAGTACGCTGTTGAATATGACCATGGATAATTGTGCACTTCGTGCACAAATTTGTCAAGTTTAATGTTGTAGCACTGCTTGATGTCCAGTTCAAAAAACCGGGGAATATTGTAAAGAACGGAGACAATGTACACTGCCGCAATATGCTTCTTTGCCTTGTTGAGCGTGCAATAAGTGAAAGATTTAAGAGGATAGCAAACCACTATAAAGCGGTCCAGAGTCACTAGCACGACCAACCAGCTGCTAATTTGTTGGGAGATGTAAAGCATAGGTTTGACAAAGGGCATCAGTTGTGGGTATGTGTCAGTTAAAAAACTATCCCCAACTTGACCATTGTATTTTTCCATTGACGGCAGACTCAGAAATATCAGACTACACACCAGATAGATAGAGTCTGATACTGCCAGAGCGCGCAGTGTCAGCGACGTGGTTGTTTTCTGTTTTTCTCGCCACAAGACGATGAAAGCCAGTAGATTCCCACACAGTCCAAAAATGATAAACCCGAATGCAAGAACGGCGTGAATATAAAACATGGTGGCTAGTTTCCTCTCTGATATGACTGTAGCGTTCCTACACAGAAAAAGCGACGAGTTGTTCATTTTGGGTCTTGGTGTACGTTAAGATAACTCGAAACCTCTGGTTCATTCAAGTTGCACTGGAACACAAAGCTGAAAAAAGTTTATCCTTTGTATTCATACATGTGCATTTCTAAACCCTAATGTAACAACTTTGTAGGCTTATTTGGTCACAAGATCCACTGTAAAGTGCAATCCTAATAAGAATTTTGAAAAAGTTTTTAGGCTATACTATGACATATTCATAGAAAACGTTCACAGAGACTGACAGCGCTTCTTAAGAAAAATCGACAACATTAAACGTGAAAAAAAAAACAGTACTTTAACTGGTGAAATAAACGTCAATAACTTACCTTTTCTACAACCTGGTGTAGCAACGGCGTGGTGTTAAATATGAAGAACGGAAATGTTTCCACCGCCTGCTAGTAACAGATAGGATAGCCTATTTAACCGAACCGGAATAACTAGACATGCAGCTTCGGGTGTGAATTTTGGAGCTTCATATAAAATATCTAGTTTGATGCGAGCTCCCCCGCCTATCTCTCACATCTTTACAAAAAGATATCCGGTAACTCTTGATATTCACCTTTCTCGCTTTCAGAAGTGTAAGACGTTTCTGAAATCTCTGATCGCCAGCGAGAAATCTTTTAGCAATTACCAAAGGCAGGTGCGGCGCAAGATCAAGATTCTTGTCAAAACTGCAATCAACCCTCAGATGAAATAACGTCTGCGATGAAGACGTGTCTAATTCTAAACCCTAGTAGTGTAACAACTGGTTCTCATAAACAAGTGCTCGTGTCAGATAAAAACAAACTTAATTTTGCGTGCTGATGATACGACAACCCTACTTAATAAACTTATTAGGAAGGCGCCATAAAAAACCTAAACAGGACATCTAGTGCCCTAAAATTATAGCAATAGTTATCTGTATGTCCTTTCATCTCACAATAATAATTTGTCTGATGGGATAAAGTTGTTTGGTGTAAATTATTATTAGTCTGCCAAAATGATTAATGTGAACGTCCTGGTAAAAGCGGCAGTTAATGTTATTGCAGGAAAAACTTCAGCAATGTTTTCGATCACCATTTGCCAAGGCCTATTGACCGGTAGTATCTGAAATACTGTCTGCTATAACACATTAACTTATTGCACTGTGTTTTCAAGTGCAAAGGTATGCTTGTAACACCTAAACTCCTAATTTTTCTAAACGTCAACCTGCATGTTTTCTCTTCAACATCAGGTTTTCAACCTAATTAGTGAAATTTTACATAGGACCGTTTATACAGATAACCTTGTATATGTCTGTCGAAATTTACTCTTATCGAAGTTATTTCCGCGATGATTGAAGTAATTTCCGCGATAATCCAACTTATTTCCGGGGCTATTTTCCCTCCTAGAATGGCGAGGTTGTGTTACAGGAACGTGCCAGTTCTGTAATAGAAAGCGTTATTTTACTTGTAGCCAACCAATACCGAAATGCAAGTTTGATCCGTTTTATTAGGTGAATGAATTTGAAACCGGAGAGAGGAAATTAAAAATGTCACATTTACCGTTAACTATTATACTGCGCTTATATGAATAAGTGAATATATGTTCAAATGATGGCTTGGTAGCATTTGGAACGGATATTTGTAAGAATCAAATATACTTTGACACATCTGAAAAATCGATTTATCTGGTTTTCTTTCCTGTGATTAATCTTGCCCCCCCCTCCCCCATGAAAAAAAGGATATCTCCTCCCCAATTTTTTTGAAGGTTTTCATCATTTCGAGAAAATCGTGATTTGTAAGGTCTACCACGTTCGTAATCACGCTATATCATATTTGCCAATCCATACTTGGCCATTGCTGCGGTAAGGATGGGGTGTGTAGTGGTCAGAAATCAAGATTTCATGACCTTGACCTGCGTGTATAGTTGCAGACTACTGCTGGTGAAGTCGATCTAGACTAGACGCTGATACTGAAAAGAGGCTCATAAAGTGACTTTTATTTCCTAGGCAATCTATAGGCCTACTCGGTTTGATACTGGGTTATGATAGACGGTTTATTTCAGTGTGGTCGTCCTATAAAACCAATGAGCCGTGACGTTGATAGAGGGCGCTATTTAAGTCAGCGAAAAATGGACATTTTAGCCTTGTTGTCAATATTTGATTGGAAATTACGTAAATTCACAGGCGACTTATACCTAAAAAATATATGAATAAAACAACAATATTACTTGCAATAAGAAAACTGATTTTAACGGTTAAGGAACAAACAATTATTTCATAATCATAAATGAAACATAGTCTACATTTCTATACTACCGCGGCAAATTTACTATGTTGTTGGTCTTTCTTCGATCAGATTTCCCTTTTATATTGCACTGAGAACAAGACAATTTATCCAGTCTATTAAAAGGTATATTTCTATTTGTCATGTGAACTTCTTACATTTGTATTACTCTAATAAGTGCCGTAATGCTGCACTTCAAATATCGTAAATAACAATTCTGAATCCGGACCACCAAGCAACATTTTTTTCTTTAATAAAAACTAGCAGACTACTGATTGAATATTTGTATAGGTATTAAAATGCAAAATAAAATCGTAAAATGTACCTGTTTTTCATTTTGTGCGACACGCATCTAGCAGCTAATATAGACCTACATGTAGGCCTACATGTAGGCCTATATGATACCAATCATACATGCATTTACTATTGATAAGTTGTCTTTAAAAAAAAGCTGATTCAAATATAACCAACATCAATATGTATAGTCTATTAGGTACAGCGACCTGTACTAGCCTGAAATAAAATAGTTATGATTCAATTCATAAATAAAAAATTCTTACCGTTCTCGCGAGAGACCAGACCCCTATACAGCTCATTAGTACTCCGATAAATTCAATTCTATACATTAATACCGTGTGTTTACTCTCTGTAATTATACCCAATAAATTTTATTTTGATTTTAATACCTCATCACAAAAATGGAAATATAATATCAATACATGGCAGTGCATGTTTGTGAGAAATAAATAACCCGTGATAGCTAATGATAACTCAGTATTGCTCCGGCTCATGCGTGCGATTTTGAGGTATTTGGTCGTACAATGTAGACTTTTTCACTGATGAAAATTGCAAATATGGGTAACTTTAATGAAAAACAAATTGCTCTCACAGTGACATAAGAAGAAGAGAAGAATTAGTAAAAGATATTCTGTGCACGTTCCAATGTTTTCTTGTCAAAATATCCTGCGGAGCTACTACATTTCCTTCTCAAATACCTGGAAACCAAAGCCGTCTAAGAGTGCATTCCCATTGATGTAGATCGCTCCATCTAGAACTCCCACGTTAAATTGCTGTCAGCCGAGCGCGCACGGTAGTTAATTACCCCCTTCAGGGCCGTAGCCTCCGGGGGGGCAGGGGGGGCAACTGCCCCCCCTGGAATTTGGAATTTTACACACCACACCCACTCCCCTCGGTAGCTTCGCCCCCTCGTGTCCGCTTACTGCCCCCCCTGGCATTTTGCTCAGGCTACAGCCCTGCCCTTACAGTTTTTAGTAGGCGGGGCAGACATTTAAGCCGGCTAAGCTGACAGTAATCTAGTGAGACTCCCCACAGGGATAGATCGATCTAAAGTCTGTGGGAATCGGTTCTAAATGACCCATAATTCTTTAAGAGCTAACTTATTAGATTAGAAATGGCACAAAACCTCGAATCCTGCAGGGTAGGGTCGACCGTTATTTTTTGTGTCTGGGAAAAGTATATAGATTTAGTCGCTAAAACCCAATGTAGAATACTTTGAATTAGTCAACGAGCTGATAGAATCCTTTGGGTTCAGTGAAATTATGACTCTGTGATTTCAGCTCAAAAGCTAAAAAATTGTATACTACGAACAGAAAACCTCACGATCTATCTATATGTAGACCTATATACATGGAAGATCTCTATGACTGGATTTTTACCATATTTGCCCAAATATTCTATGTGTCATATACTGTATATCCCCCTACACAGAATGAGCCAAACCACAGCACAATAGGTAAGGCAGGTGAGCGGACTATCTGTCTAAACCAATAACCTTCCGACAGTGTTGAGTGGGCACAGTGTTAGGTATTGGTGCAATCTGCAACGCATGATTCCATATACATATATTATGAATGATTGATTAAATAATCTGTATCACTGCAGAGCTTATTAGGGATTTTTTTACTTTTCTAGTAATATGTAAGATAAAGGTTTATCTCTCCCTTGAGAATTATTTCAACAGCCACCCCTCAATCAAAATGGCCCACACCTGTTGTGATTTACATAACAATGCGTCGCGCAGCGCAGTGCGAGCTGTCTTCCAGAATAGTCACTTGACAGCTGGACCCTGTAAGAAGAGGACGCAGGATTGGTGTGGTGTAGTGCCAAGACCGAATATTTTATTCAAACTTGAAGCAAATATGACTTGTGAGTAACATTTTTTTCTACATTTTATTAACAATTGTATTTAACTACAGTTTGTCTAGGTATTCCTTTTATCGTGCCCAGATACTTTCACTGTAATACCACCAGAACATTGATCGTACGTGTACATGTCTCGTGAACAAAGTATTTTCCACGTTTTAGTATTTTTAGTTGTGTATTAGTGGGAAAGGGGTGGTTACAGTAGAATCTAGTTCAATTATCATGGAAACATATTCTTGTTTGTAACTGAAGCAGACAAGCGGGGGACATTTTGATGGGTTTTCATGACGACATAAAAAATTCTTCACATCTATACGGTTTTTATAGGTTCCGAGTTTTTGTTAACTATTTTCTTCCAGTAATATAATGGAAAAAATTTAATTTCTGTCGCTCCGTAAAAGAGATCCATTAAATTTAGCCTTGAGCACACTTTCCAATAATATTTGATCGTATTTTCCCTGTCATTCTTATAGTGCAATAGAAACTAGTGTGCAACATTCGTTATATTTTGCAATATCGAATTCCCTTTTCATTCGATATTTTTAATTTGACGTTCAGGCAACCTCAAAGCAATTTTTCAACATCAGCTGAAGCGTTTCCATTTTCAGTTCATTTTATCTTAGTTCAAATGTTATTGGATTTGGAATATTGATTTATTTCATTACCGTTATTTTCATATTTCAGAACGGCCATCTCCTTTACCGAATGCAAATGCACATGCGACCGATAGCAGCTTGTCCAGCCTTCAGTCCGTGTTTTATTTTGTCAGTCGGACATAGATATACACCAAACACACATGCTATATGGTGAAAATCATATATCCTTGTACTGTGATTTTCAAAATATTTGAGCCTAATTGTGTTGTGTTGTGTTTTTTTCCCAGCCATACCCATTAATTAATTGTATTCAAATTATAAAAGAATATCCTTGGGAACGATCTTGATCCGTTTCAAATTAAACATTGGGACGAGCACCGTATCTGGTTCTATTTGAAATCCAGTTAGTATAAATCCAATTTTGATGATACAATGTTTAGTGTAATTA